TTGCACTTAATTATCCTTGTACTCATGCTTCATGCCCTTTTTAGTCAGTTCACATAATTTGCTTAAAACACTTGATCATTTCTCACTCATCTGTGTATTTTCCTTGCTCAACAGACTGCTTTGGATGTAGGGATTAGGCAATGTCTCTTTGTTTCATCTCTCTCATCAACGCCTCGCACAGTGCAGTGTATAGATAATAGGAGGATCTTCATAAACACAGTTTAAATGGAAAAAATCACATGCCAGGATAAATGAAAAGGTCCATATTTTACATGGAAGTCATAATTAATTTAGTAGCTATATTAACTAATGAACTAGTATACCAATAAATTGAAAACACAAAATCTGTTACTGACAGATTTATCTATTTGATTGTAGGTCTAGAATTAAGAGTATAACACTATGAAAGGAATTTTTGCTTTTGACAGCTATGGTTACATTAATGTTTGAATTATTTATTTAGATAGAATCCATATAAGCTAAAATTCATGGCCTAATGTGTACAAGACGGGAGCGATCAAAGGGACCAGCCTCTCCAGCCCTGTCTTTGGGATACTCAAGAGTCTAGTACTATGTAGGGAAAGAATTAGGGAAGGAGTTAAGAGGTGTGTATAGTCAAACAGCATTGGTCAAACTATGGCTTGGTTAATCAGCAAGTATCTCAGGTCTGCTTCTGAGGGGTCTTGCTGGCACCAGGGGAACAATTATTGTTTGAGGCAGGAATTCATTTCCTGTTATGAGAGGATTTATTGCTTGGGAAATAACCTTGCTTCCCATTATGGGATAGTAGACCTATAGGAGATGCTGTTCCTGGAATCTTGAAAATCTCTTAGTTACTCTTAATTTGGTATTCTCAGCTCTGAAGGGGGATGAGAGAGGTTAGGCAAGTTTAATGCTAATCAACCTTTATTACCAGTTCTTAGAAACTTCTTCAATGATTAACTGGTGTATATGTCAAGTTGACCAGGAATCTAAACCAAAGTTGATGCAATATGAAGGTAGAGATGTCAAGGACTTTCCCGGTTTTTGTCATCCACTGGACACCTGCAGGCTCAAGAGAAGAGTCAGTGTTCTAAGGCGAAGTGCCATTCATTTCCTATTGCACAGTTATGTAGATAGACCACATTTGTTGATTGAGTCATCAGTTGATGGAAATTTTGGTTGTTTCTAGATTTTAGGAATGATGACCAATGGTGAAATGAACATGTGTGTTCAAGTTTCTGGGTGAACATATGTTGATTACTGTAGCATTTCAGTTTGTTTTGAAATTAAAATAAGTGAACTCAGATCAACACAGTAAGTTCCATAGAAGAAGATGTCTGGGTATTGGTGCCTGTACATTCAGTTTCGGGGAAAGAATGACAAGGGTTGAACCCTAAAAGTGACCTGAATAACAGAAGTGAGAAGAGAGATTGGAAGCTCACAGTGTACACTCTCTTTATATATACCCCAGTATGCTCCACAAATACACAGGAAAGGCCACTGGGAGGTATGTGTGTTGGGGGAGGTGTGTCTGGGGGGGGGTTATGCATAAGTTTAAGGAAGCAAAGCGAAACTTTCTCTGGTTTGTGGCTCTCTTCATGAGTACTTATGTCTTTAAGGTGTTGCCTGGGTGTACAATGCTTTCTGGGAAGTTGGCTGCCAACTTTGTGGGCAAGAGAGGGGGCTGCCATTCTGTAGCATGTAGACTTTCATCTATGCAACAAACTACTGAGTCAGCCTACCTAGTGTTTGGCCCAGGATCCCATCCTGATGGTTTGACATGTGGATCCTGCTGCTTACTCAACAGCTAACCCTGGATAGCTCACTCAGCTTCATCTTCTATAGGGCTCACTCCTCATGATCCCCAGGCTTCCTCACCTCTATCACAACTCAAGCCTTCACCAACTTTATTTTCTCCTCCTTCTCAGAAAAGAGGAACAGTGTCTACCCAGTCAGCAACCTTCAGAGTCACACAAGCCTTCATCTTTTGGTCCTACCTTCTTAAAATTGCCTAGGTCATTGTATGTCTCACCTACTCCCACCTAAAGCTTCAGTTAAATGTCTTGTCATTTTCTTTTGATTTGTTTCCTTTTCTTCCTCTACATATGTTTAGTAAATATCATCTGAAGGAAAGCATGAATGAATGATTTGAAAGGATAGATCAAATTAGTGGAAGGTCCTGTGTGTTGGTTTAACCTGTGGAGTGCTCGCTCTTCTCGAGCTTTTCACAGCTATGAAAGAAAAATAGAATGCTATTAAGAATATTCTCAGCAGCATGGTACATCATGGCTTTTGCTTAGCATCATTTCAGATCTTTTGTTAGTTTAACAAAGAACTGTTCCTTCTCCAGTTTTGTTTTTAATTCATCTTGCACCTTGGACCAATCCTCTATCCCAGATAGTATGTAGTAGTGATGTAGGCCAATAAACATACCAAGATGCTAACTGCCCTTTAGGATGCCAATAGGTCAGAATCCAAGAAGATGGCCTAGAAAGGGGCATAGATGTCATCTGGATCCTTTTGCCGGACAAAGCCAATGCCAGCCTTTGCTCTGCAGCAACACACTGATGTAACTAGTCCCTGGTCATTCCCCTTTTAATTCCAACTCACTGAGCTGCAGATCTCATTCTACTGCCCACGTGTGCTCCCAAGCACTTACACAGCCCCAGGCTGTACACAGTAAGTCCACAGTGGGGGGCATATAGCCCCTCCTCCCGCCAGCATCAATAGCACTCCAGGTCTGAGACACAGCCAGGGCATACTGAACCACCAGACTGGTAAAGGGAGGTGGCTCACTCAGAATGAGATAGGAGACACAACTGTGCTCATCCTGACAGGATACAGGGGTGAAGTGCAGGGACAGTGCCATGTATGATTTGCTTCTGGCCTTTTCCTTTAGTACACGTGTCCAGTCAGACCACACTGAGGCTTCTAGTAGTCACAATGGGTCAGATTTTTCAAAGCCTATTCACATAAGATGAGCTCCAGTGCTATTACCCTTTTTATCCAACACCCACATTCTTAACCAACTCCTGCAGAAGAAATCACAGTTAAGCTCCAAACTAACACTGCTCAAAGAATGTATACCACACTGCTCTAATCTGGAGTCTCGTCCCTTCACTCTATCTTCTTACTTCTTGTTTAGGTCTCAACATCTTCCTTAGTGCTCTTTCTAGACTCCACTGTTCTCTAAGTACAAAGAAGTATGTTTTGTTTTTTGCAAATTTCTCCACTGAAACCACAGGATCCTAAAGAATGTATACTCAATTCATATTTAGAAAATAGAATCAGTGAGTAAGGCTGTCACTTATTATGTTATTAGACTTTCTCCTACTTTGCTAAGTAAACCAAGGAAATCTACATTTAAATCTTTAATTTTCCAGAAATATGGACTTAAAAAGGTAAGTGTACCCAAAGATAAACCATGTTCCATTATTTTTCCTGTGTTACGGAGTTTTTGTAAGTTACTTCTAGAACCTTTCACATTTCCAAAGAAATTTCAATTCCTGTTTTGTGCTCTATCATGCCCACATCTCCCTCTCCCTGCCTGTCTGTCTGCCTGTTTGCTATCTGTCTGTCTGTCTTTTTATCTCTTACACACACAGACACACACACACAAAGATGAAAGATTTCCCAATTTGTTTTGAAAACTATCAAAATTTTATTCTTAAACCTGAGGTACTACAATAAGTATGTTAGTAAAAAACTACCTAAAAATTATTTAAACTTGAAATACAATAAGTATGTTAGTATAAAAACAACTTAAAATTATTTAAACCTGAAGTAGTATAATAAGTATGTTAGTAAAATAAAACCTTAAAAATAATTTAAACCTGAGGTACAATAAGTTTGTTAGTAAAAAATAACTTAATTAACTTTTCAATTAAAAAGAATAGCATTTTTAAAAGCATCAAAAGGAAAAGATAAATTGCTAGATCATTTATTTAGAGCCAGAATATAGTTGGCATACACTCTGTTCTATATAACCAGAGGCCCATACTTGTGCTGGGGACACTGACTGCCCATTTCAGTGTGGAGTAGGCATCTGGCTCCTTCTTCAGCCCGGGGAGGGATGCTCTTGACCAGGGCTGGGCCATGAGCACAGCAGTAGGGGGCACACGGAGCCAATTCTGGCCAGGACTCTCTTGTCCTCACTTCTCAACATCTCCTCAGAGTAACTTGAGGAAGTATGATGTCTGCCTGTCTTCTGGGCCCAAAACTGCAGAATCTTCATCCTGATGTTTTCAGCCTGTTTCCTCAGACCGCACAGGAAATAGTTTTGCCGAAGGTCGCAGTTAGTTACTGTCTCACTTTTCTCTTGTTGCTGAGACAAAATAGCTGATGCCCAAAATTAAAGAAGGAAAGGTTTATTTAGTTCACCGTTTGTAGAGGTTTCAGTCCATACTTGACTGGCTCCAAGGCAGGGCGGTGCATGGCAGAGACATAGCAGTTCATGGCAGCAGAAAGTAGCACAAGCAACAAGAAAGGGAGAGAAGGGCAAGCCTCTTTCTGTCCCTCATACTCTATGTGGTCTTATTTGTGTAGCACTGACACTTTTAATCCCAGCACTGGATTTTGAATCAATCATAAATTCTAGATTCACCTCTGGAAAGCCTGCCCCCCATGACTGCATCAGGCTTTGGGGGGACATCTAGACACAAACCATAACAGGCACCAACTGATGCTCCAGATAATTTCCTGTACCCAGTCTTTGGTCATGAACTTTCTGGGCTTCTCATTGCCAAAGAGCATCATCTCATCTTAGCCAGGAATTTCCAGGTGCCAGGATATTTTTCAGGAAACTACTTTTAGCTATGCTGTATTCACCACTCACCATCATATCATGGGTGAGGTACAATGAGCTGACAAAGGCATCAGAGTGGTAAAAGGGGTCCATACCTTCATTTCAAGGCCAGGTATCCCCGCCATTCACTCAGAAGCATCAATATGTAGTACAACAACCATTGTTAATTCCCTACCACTTTGTTTGTAACTCTGTATTGTCTGTACTGTGCTTGTGATATGTTGTAAAATGTTGTATGTCTGTTAATGTTTCCCTCCTTTTATCTTTAAAACAAACAAAAGAAAAGAAGCTGCCACAGACATCACAGGAATTGGTCTATGTGACAACACTGATGACAACCTTGAATGTTTTCACTTTTATAATGGGTTACTTCGTCAATACTTGAGGATAGGGGAATGATCAATTCAGGTATTTTAGCACCCAGTAACTTTCAAGCTGAAGATGCACTTTCTGAGCATGGCTTCTGGGTGCTTGACACCTCCTCCTCTTCATGGCTGTTGGGCTTTTCATCAGACTGATTCCCTAAAGTGGAACCCTCAGGACTCTGGGAAGGATCCTCATTAGTACCCTGGGCTACTGCAGTAGCCACCTCCTCCTCTTTTGGAGTATCTGGAACCAGAGAAGTGGGGGAGGAACGGGGAGAGGTGGGGGGTGGAGGGGGTGTGTTGGAAGGAGAGGAGGAGAAGGAGGAGGAACAGGACAAGGAGGGAGTGGAAAGGTTGAAGTTGAAAGAGGAAGAGGAAATAGAGGAGTTCTCCTCTTCCTCTCTCTCATTTATGGGAAAATGTAAAAACAAATCTCTTTCCTCAGTTGAGTCCTGGATTTCTTGATCGAGGCGTGGACGCTTTGGAGACACAGGCATGATGACTTGTGTTGGAGGCAGCAGGCAGGAGTGTGAGTGATGAATTCCTTAGGCCTAAGGGACAGAGGGACAATTTGAGTAGTCAATTTGAGTGTCACACAAGATGGCTCTGACAAAGCATGATTTACTAGTCTTTTCAGACAATATACTGGATCTTCAATATTCTCCTATTTTCCCAGTTGGCCTGGCCCCTAGGAGAGTATAATAAGGCAGGAAAAAATTCTCTAGAGTGTAATCAGCTAGCCAGGCCCAAGGATCCAGGGTTAGGAGTAGGGTACATTGGGTTGAGTTCAGGGGGTTCTTCTCAGATCTAGGGGGAGACTTGGTACATATTCAGGGTATGCACCTTACCTTAACTCCTCATACATGCCTGGGCCCCCTTTGCTCTGTGATCAGATGACACTGGCTCAGACTAAGGCTCTCACCCCTAATTGTCAAAGCCCCTGTTAGACATAGAGGGGTGTGTCAGAATGCAGACTGCAAGCACAGCCCCTGTTTTCCAGGGGAGGAGGAAGCTTCAGGCCAAGATTCCCATTTCCTAGAGGGTCTGAAGGAAGTGTGTAAAAGTGTAGGCCTCTGACTGAAAACCCTTGTTTAAAAATGTCCAGATTTGATAACAAAAGCTGTTATTTCTGTGTGCCCCTGTCATGGAGGACAGTTGTCCTCACTGCTCTGCCATAGTCGTCTTTCTCATATCTGGATAAGCATGACATTCCTCCTCCTACTGATCTGCAAATATCATCAACCTCAGTCTCTCAGATAGAAATTAGTACGCACCTCATCTGTTCTCCTTTCTGGAAGCTTCTTAGGGCTGACAGAAGGGACAGAGAAGTCCTGAGATTCTGTATGCAGTGAGAGGTCACCTAAATCCTCTCTCATTGTAGATAGATAGATAGATAAATAGATAGATAGATAGATAGAGTTTGTTAGTTGAGTTTTTTGAGGTATTTCCATATGTTTGGTTTAGGAGAAAAGGTTTTCATGTACAATGGTGTACAAATATATGTGTGAATCAGAATTTTCAAGTTTGGTGGATATACATAGTAAGTGTAATTACTGGATCATATGTTAAATTTACAAATACAACATGTGTATTATATAGGCATATATATTGCATAGTATATGCATTATATCAGCATATATATTTATAAGACTGTATATTATAAAAGCATATATATTATAAAAGCAAATATAGGGCTGGGGATATAGCTCAGTGGCATAAGTGCCTGCCTGGCAAGGGCAAGGTCATGAGTTCGAGCCCCAGTACTGCAAAAAAAAAATAACAAAAAAAAAAAAAACATAAACTTTAAAAAAAAAAAAGCAAATATATAGGCTTGAGGACCCACCACTGAGACTGCTTCATTTTACATTCATGAACACTGGGTATATTTAGAGTAGGGGGAGCAGATTACCAACCAATCATCCCTGCTTTTGATCATTCATTCAGTATCATTACTATAGTGGAAGCACATTAGCTCACCAGTAGTGTCGTCTGACACTGTCCTGACAGGGTAATCAGAGCACCTCCTGTCTGCATCAACTTGAGGATGGACTATCAGTTCTCTGCTAGGCCTATCTGTACTGTCCTATGTGGGAAATTGTAGTCTGATTTTTCTTTTTCTTTTTTATTTATTTATTTTTTTTTTTTTCGCCAGTACCGGGAATCGAACTCATGACCTTGTGCTTGCCAGGCAGGTGCTGTGCCACTGAGCTAAATCCCCAGCCCCTGTAGCCTGATTCTTCTAGGTAGGGAATCAAAGCTACCTTCCTGCTGTTTTGACCAGGACATATGAATATCTCTAGCTTCAGCAACGTTGGTAATAGAAATCAAATCTACAGTCTTCCCTGAGAAAACAAAAGAATATGAGAGGATGGAGAGGAGATTGCTGCCAGATGCCTGTCTGTTTTAGATTGGAACAGGGCAATCCGTGGAAAAATGTTCCTTACTGTTAAGCCGATCATTTCTTGTGTTTTTGTCTGTGTTGTTTGCATTATGCTTGGGTGTGTTTGGACTGCCCTTTTTCAGGATACAAGGGAAGCAATAAAAAAGCCTAGGAAAGTCATGCCATATTCTTTCTCAAGTCTCAAGGGGTTTGGGAGTCTATCTGCTTGATTACAACTTCAGAGTTTCCTCACACTTGTTTGGTGCATTGTATCCGGGACTTCTCAGCTGGAAAGTGGAGGAACTGGTGAAATATAGCTAATCCACTTTTATGGAGTTTGAAGTGTTTTTTGAGTATATTTTTAAAACACATGACAAAGGGTTGATATCCCTAATAGCAAATACCTCTTGCTAAGATTGATAAAAACACAACCTGTTAGGAAAAAATATGCTCAATGGATATATATTCACTGTTGAGAAGCAAATTAAAAGAGTTTGCAAACATGTCCAAATTTATTAAAATCAGGAAATGGAAATTAAAGCAAAATAAATATCACTTTACTGCCACAGAACTGGGAAAAATTTAAAAAATTGGTTTGTTCTTGCTGTTCATGCAAGCAAGGTGACTCTTGTCTCTTGCAATGCAGCAGACAAGTCATCCATTTTGCCTTTTTGCAAAAATAGCTGACAATACTTAATATAATAGAGAAAAATAAATCCCTCACTTATAAAACTCATCTATCCCACAGTTGTAATAGAAAGGTGTAAGATTTCTTGAGAAGCTATAAGATATGTTATTGTAAAAAACCCAGAGACCAAGAAAGGTTATCCATTTAGAAGTGGCCATACGATTTGCTGTATATCATACTATAAAATGAAAACAATGACTTAGACTTACGCTAAAGACTGGAAAGAATTTCCACAAGGTAATCTAACCTAAAAAATACATAGAATATTACTTCAATGTTTATAAGTCAAAAAACCACTACACTCCTTATTTATGTGTGAATGTGTGTGTACTTTCTATGTAGATATAGATACACTCACACATAAACAATGTATAAGTAAGTTTGTATGTATGTACGTATGGACATGAATAAAGTGTGCAATAATGTTTATTAGATTTTTGACATACACCTCAATGATGTACATGTGTTTGTATATGTATTTCACAAATACAAATACAAACATGCAGTCATACACACACACACACACACACACACAGAGTTGCTAACATCAGTTACCAGAAAGAGATGACTAAGTTAAGAAAATTGGAATCTAACCAGGTGTGGTGGCACATGCTTGTAATCCCAGCACTTGGGAGGCTGAGGCAAGAGGATCATTGTGAGTTCAAAGCCAGCCTGGGCTGCATAGTGAGACCCCGTCACAAAAAGACCAACAAAAAAAAAAAAAAAAGGAAAAGAAAAGAAAATTGGAATCTAAACAGCATCATAAAGAAGGACAGCAAAAAGATTGCACAAGGATAGTTGAATATAACCACAGATAACATGTATGTAAAACTCTATATTTGCAAATAGTTTAGAAATAAACTTATGAATATATAAAACTGATTATTTGCAATTAATAAAGTTTTAGATATATTTGATTGCCTAAGAACACCATCTATGTAAAATAACTCCTCAATTTCAACTAGAAATGAAATCAAATGAGGATTGCCAAGATGTTTTATCACATAACCCTGTGTGAACTTGAATAAATCATTGGTCTCTGGATTGCATGAACTAGTATTAATTTTTCAGCCTACTATAAGCCTGAGAATCATCAGACAATCCATCTGAGTTTTAAATGTGGAATCTTTATTTTAAAAAAATTAAGCTTAATACATTTTGATATGTTTGATGAAAATAGACTTTAATGCTCTTATTCACTACTAAGGAATATTTCCATGAAATATCAAGTCTAATGTGTATGCTTCCCTGAAAAGCTAAAATATTTGAATGTAGCAAGTGTAACTATCACTCAAAATGGATAATTAGAACTCTCACTGGGATTAATTCAAACAAATTCATACCATTCCATCACAATAGTCAATAAACTTGTATTTTTTCATTAGCTATGCATTAATTAGTTTTTCAAGACTTCATACTAAGTACCTACTGAGTGCTAGAGTCTAGACATTCAGAACACATCAAGCAATAAGTAGCCCATACCCTTTTGAACTGTGCATTACAATGGAGAGGGACACTAAGCAAATCAGCCATGTGACTTCCAGAGAATTATAAGCATTAAGCAAGACCAAGGAGAGGAAAAGAGTGACAGAGGGAGAGTGGGCTCATTTCAGACAGGCTGTGAAGGAAGGACTCCAAAAAAGGGTCACTGGAGCTGAGACTTGAGGGAAATGGAGGTTAAGAGTCTTGTGGATTCAGGAGAAAAGTGTTCCTTACAGAGAAAGAAATGCAAGCCTGAAGCCCTGGGGCAGGAACAAGCTTGACCTGCTCAAGCAGCTGTGAAGTTTTCATGACTAAAGTAGGAGAGAGCGTGTGCATGGTATCCAGGATGCGAGAGCCGGGACAAGCAGAGATTACCAGGCCATGGAAGCAGTTCAGGCTTTTCCAAGTGGGAAAGGGAGTAACCAAGACCCTTGCAAAGGTAAATGAACTCAAAGATTCATATTTTAGAATCTATTCCTCATACGGGATTCCCTTTAGATATTGCACTACATTCATAATAATCTTTGTGAAAACATACTTGCAATTTAAAGATGAATTTAATTTTTAAGAAATATAAGAAAATATCACTTAATTGAATGCTTTTTTTTCTTGAATCCTGTTTTGATAAGGTGACACTACCATAGGCTTTCACCATCATATGATATGGAAAAACACAGAATGTCAAAGCTTTGTGCTAACAGCCTACTGAGTTTTATATACTCAAGTGAATACCTTTGACTCATCTTCATGAAAAGGACCGTTCTACAGTTAGAGTTCTTATCCTGAATTCTATGGATGCAATTCAGAGTCCATGAGGTAGGATAAGGAAAATAATATATTTTTTTCCCTCTAGGTTTTACATGAATTCAGCATTTCCTTCCATTACAGAAGCAGGTAGCACAGCACAGTTATATATTAGCAGTATGTGTGCTTTTGTATTCCTGAAAACTTATAGGTATTTTTATATGAATTGTATGGTTGTTACTCATGTCTCAGTATATCACTGAATCACTATTCTGAAATTACAGTGATTATTCTTATCCCTAGATCATGTTAGATAAAGCATTATTAAATAAACACAGGACACTGTATCATATATTCATTTTTAATAAATGGATACCTGAAATACAATATAATCAGTTTCTGAAAGGAACTGATGCCTTTCATTTCATGTACTTAAAATATTATTCTAAGATGGGTTTTGGCAAATGTCTACAGGTAAGCGTGGCTAAAAGGATATAAAGACCTGAACCCACTCATCAGATCAACCTGGTTAGAAATACTGCCTCTTCTTCTTCCTAACTGTGTGAATTTGGGCAATTTGTTTAATCTCCCTTTACCACATTTTCTGCATATGTTCAAGAGATAGCCTTGCCATGAAAGTAGCTGCCTCTCATACTGTTCATAGGTTTACCTCAGAGTCTACGTGGTATGTGTCTCACATATAAGGAGTGCTTGAGGGCCATTGCTGTTCATTTTATTGCTCAAGTTGCAGCAGTATTTCTCAGCATTTGTTCCACAGACCTCTAGTTGGCGTCTGACTCCTGTGGGATATCTGGTTCACCACCTCCTGCCCTGAATTCCTGGAATGGAATAAGATTTTAAAGTAACTGTTTAAGCTTTCTCAAATTCATGGTGATGGGAAGACATCCCGTTTTTTAAATGGTCTGGGGAACAATGCTTAAATGTGACTGCCAGTTGTCCTATGGGTCTATTTAGCACATCCAAAGAGCTACTCCTGGTATCTGCTTTTCGTAGAGTTTCAAGTATTCCCCTAAGCTGCCATTATAGACTGAGAAAAAAGAAGAGAGGAATGGGAGGATATGGTAGACACCTGGAAGATGGGCAGATGTGTGGAGAGCTTGAGGGCCTCAGCAAACCCTGAAGTTGGGATAGAATTCTAAGGATAAACTACAAGGAAAAGTAATGTTTCCTAGCTCTCAAACTCTCACTTGTGGGCAGATCCCTTGGACTTGCACCACTGATTACAAATAAGCAAACCTAGTTCTACAGCCTAGCTTGCTTATCAATGCCATGATCTCAAAGTCCAGCTTTTTCACAGCCTTGTTATAATGTGTTTATTATTTAAGAGTTCTTAACTTGAGAGACTTGGGCTGATTTAAGTACACATCAAGATTGTATGCACACAACCTTGTTTGCAAACTGTGGCGAGTGAAGTAATAGTTGTGTGCAAACTTTGGTCAGTGAAGTAATACTTGTCAGAAGAAGCAACCATTCTGGCAAGAAAGTCCATGCCTAGCATCAGACACTCTAGAAGACGCCTGACCCAAAATGTTCAGGACTGCAAGACAGATGCACTGAAGCTCTTTCATAGTCAGGAGCTTTGTGTTTGTAGTCTGCTGTCTTCACTCATTTTATAAACCTAAGGGTAATGTGGGTTAAACTCTCGTATAATTCCATTTTAAAATTGCTCTCTCATTTGGTGGTATTCAATGCATTCAGAATGAAAATATAGAAAAAGACTCTGCCCTCTTTTAAATACACCAAAATTTCTACTCTGTTAAGAAAGTTTGAAAGCATTAGTGTAAATAATTTGAAACATCGTAGAAAGGAGTTCTAAGTTATACAGCACTAAACTCACGTTACTTTTGATCATAGTCACTTCTCTTCAGGGAATTCAACTGCCTCACATGGAAGCTCCATCGTGTGGCACCATAGAGCATATATTACTTAAGCTTGCTTTTCCTTTCTAATGTCTGGAAAACAAAAGCCAACTAACAAAAATGGATTCATCCAACCACAAGATCACAAGCTTACCCGTACATTTCTCAGGAAATCTGGGCCAAGACTAGGTCTGATGTGCATCTGTCACATCCTAGACCACTTGCACCTCTCTAGAGTGCTGTGCTGAGTACTGATCAATACTATTATTGGCCCACAGAGTCATTAAAGAGTTTGAAAGTGATGCATTGACATTCCCGTAGCTGACTCTGGTGTATTGTCTGTCTTTTATTTCAATTTATCCTGTAGTTCTATTTTAAAAGCACTTATAGAAAACTATTCTAGTCATCAACAAAAAATAGAGACATAATAACTCAGTCTCGCTTCCCTATGCATGGATTATAGACAATAAAATGAACTACTTTCAATTTGTCTTCTGGTTTTATACAAGGTTCATGAAAAGAATGTTGGACTTAAAAGCATCAGGCTCATGTTAGTTACACTCTGTGCCTCTGTGTGGTTAAATTTTTAATCTCCTTGGAAATTTGAATTGCACAATATATTAAGAACTAGGATTTTCCCTAGCTTCCTGCTGAGAGATTTTTCAAACTTTTACCAAAATGAAATGCGCTATTCATTCAGTAACACTCCAAATAGATTAGTGATATTAACACCAATTATGTCTTCCACACATTATGTGCTTAACCAAAAGCCGTTCGGTAGCGGTAGGACTAAGCTGAATGCATTAGTCATCATGCTTACACCCAACCCCTGCAACTTCCCTCAAAACTCCTGCCCTCACTTACCTCAAGATTCTTTTTTACATTTTAGCGCAGGTAGCTATGTGAGCCTACATGGTTAATATTAGGAATCCATTATAACTCTGACAGATATAGGAAGTGTACAGATGTTCTCCATTATAGTCTCAGATTCCAACTATTGTTCTGTAACTGCACATTTAATTGATATTGGAGGAAAATTAATGGATGGAAGGATGAATGAATATTAGTTATTAATATCTTTTTGGCTGGATGTTCTAGAAACAAAAGATCTCAACTGGGATGTATTGAATGCTCCATGAATTGTAAGATCATTGCATTTCCCAGAGCCTCATGTTCTTCATTTTCAGACAGAGACAATCATGCCTCTCAAACAAGGTAAATGCACAGAGCATGGCAGTAGATAACACTGATAAGAAAACAGAAGATACTGTCTTTTACAGTCACGGATTTCATTTTTTATTGTTTTTTTTTTGAAAACAGAGCTTTTAATAATAAAACAGACAGAATTTTTTAAGTAATCATTTATTTTCTTTTAAAAATACATAATCACCTTAACTTTTTGCTTTATACATGCACCTAGAAACTATCAAACAGTACCACATTGTGCATTTAACCTACTTATCAGGAAGGGAACTCCATATGCCATAAGAATACCACCCATAGGAGAAGAAAAAAGGAGACAGCTAATAGCATAGTCACAGAGACAACATGAGGCCAAGCAAGCACCATTCTTTGAAGTCGCCTTTTCCATTTACCTGAGTGGAGGGCAAGAAAGAAAACAAGGGAGAAAAAAGAGAAGGAATGAAGGAAAGAAGGAAAGAAGGAAAGAAGGAAAGAAGGAAAGAAAGAAGAAAGAAAGAAAGAAAGAAAGAAAGAAAGAAAGAAAGAAAGAAAGAAAGAAAGAAAAGAAAGGAGCACCCACCAGGGACTAGTCCCAATCTATAGATACTTTTGACAACCATAATTCAGGATTTCATAGAATAGTTGCATTTGATCAACACAGCACGGAGGAGGCAGGGTGTATGGAAAAACCACAAGTACCAGGACAGAATTTGAAAAGAAAAATACATTTCTCACCTTGTTTCCCTCCCAAATACTCTTTATTGATGCAAGGATCCAAGCTAACCCAGAAAATGGCAAGGGACTAATCTTCACAATGTGATAAATCATTAAAGGGCTTTGTTCTTTTTGCAACTGAAACATTAGTGGCTCACAATTTTACTGTACACTTCAAAACAATGTCATGAATAACTGTTCTTCAGGGATTTCTCACAATCTTTCTCCCTATTCCTGCTATGCTGGTGTGGATATGAACAAACAAGAAAGTGTTGGTAGGGACTTCAAAGGTAATGATCCAGGGAGAATGAGATGGAATCCTTGCTTTTTGAGGTCCATATATTTCTGGTTATACTAATTTTTAACTGAAATATGTTTCCTTGTAGCAGACCTTTGGTTTATTTTATAACATCTGTCCCTCTTCAGTTTCTTTTTCCTTTTTTTTTTTTTTGTATGGTGCCATCAACCTAAGGACAGTCAAACAACCTGTTGTTTGCCTTGATTCCATACGTCTGTTAACTATGCAATTGCATTTTGTATACTTTCAAATCAGTTATGTGACTAAACTTTCACTATATCCCCTTTCCTCTGCACTGCCACATATCACAGGACAGACTGCAGCACTACCAGTCCCAGATTTCTTAGTCTGTCAAGCTAGTCCCAATTGTAAACTGTCCCCTTAGTAGATAGTTACAGAATGCAGATTTTATGGTGCTACCTGTCCTGCCACCCAGCAGGACTGTGTATGAGCTCCTGAGAGTAAAACTGCTCAAAAGTTAGATTTTCTCCCAACTACTGTCTTCTGCAATACTGACACTTTGTTTTTGAATATCAAGAAAGCACAATCAGTACAGAAATTAAATATACTTATAAATAGTTTCTATGTGGACATATGACATAATGTTTAAGAAGTTTTTAACATACTAAGTATGACCTTTCCCAGGTTTACCTCTTAATCTGCCTGTCTCACCAAATGTCTTGTCCAAGGCACTGGGACAATAGAATAAGGAGTCAAGAGACTCAAGAAAATACCCTAATATGGTTTGTGAGAAATAAGGCTTATTAAGAATCATTAATAAGCAATAATAGGAAAGAATAGGATAAGTTGAGACACACTTACAGAAGAGGGTCTGGGGTTACAGGCTGAATAGAAGACCATCCAGGGTTTTAGTGGCAGTACGTTGACAGGGAGCCTCCAGAAGATCCTTGGAGTGTCCAATGGCAGCCAGCTCTGATCTGCACCCAAATATCACAAGAGGCGCTTTTTATAGACGTAACTTCACAGAGGTGACGTCGCCAGCCGGCTTTGTTCCATTGTATGACCAGCATTCCTGGGAAAAGCTGACTCTGCATTCGGGCAGGAAGGCAATACAGTATCTACAAATAACACAGGTTTGCTTGTTTCTCAGTGTCCCTTTGATAATACTTATCTGGACTCTCTGATTCGTTTCTGCTTACAATGTCCGCTTGACTTGGCAGGAGTCTTGGGAAAGCAAAAAGACATCTCAAGGACGTGGTGCTCAATGCCCTCTATTTTCTAGAGGATGATACACCCACATATAGCATTTGATGCTTTTAATTATTCAAAAGAAACCAGCTCTTCTACAATTTGGACTGTGCACATGAATAATCTCAATGAAACAATCCTCACCTAGGTTATGCAGAGTTGGACTTTTGATCACTACTTCAGAGATGATTTCAGCGATAACCTCCACCCAGATAGCTTAGGTCTGATGAGCTTATCCATACTGTGTGTAATTCCCTCAGCTTTCTCTTCATAGGACTTACCCTGAAATTATAACAGTCTATCTCAGTCATTTTCCTCATCGCTAGGACAAAGAAACCTACACTCTCAATTTAAAGGAGGAGAAGTTTATTGTCTTGTATGGCTGGAAAGCTTCAGACAGAAACACCATGGTGCAAAGGTCCAGTAAAGAAAAAGTGTTCAAGTCATAGGGGCCAGGACACAAGAAGTAAGAGAGGAGCTACGGAGGGAGATAAACTCTTCCAGGTCATTCTGACGGTGACCACGCTCTTCAGATCGGATTCCCCCTCCCAACAGCAAGTCAGCATTAATACCCCCATAATCCCAGTCACATTCCAAGTACATGAGGCTCTGGAGCACATTGCAAATCTAAACAATAACACCATCCATGTGCTTGTATTTAACCATTATGTATCTGTTTTGTGTCTTGGGCTATATACTACATGAACTCAGAGATCAGGATTGTTTTATACATCCATGATCTCAAACAGTGTTTGGAACAGCATTGGTTTCAAGTTAATGAGAAAATAAATCATGTGTCTCATTCAAACCATGTTCAAAAGCTGCTATCATGTATATATAATTCATATATGCACAAAACCAGAAATCCGATGTGCTCTCATTGTGTGTGATGGAAGTATGGGACTGGGTATGATTGGGAGTGTGAAGTAATGAAAATTGAAAACCTCATGACCCAAACAAACATGGAATAGCGTATGGTTAAATAAAGTTAGGCCACTGGTAAGTAGAATTATTTCCTTACATTTCTCTGAAAATATGAAACTGGTTCCCATGCTCCATAACTTCTTTCCTTCATTCATTTACCTCTTGACGTCTCTTACCTCTCAAACTGTGATTCCACCTCCTCAAAACACCCACAAAATACTAACATGTATGATTTTTCCTTCTTGGCCTTTCTCTTTCCTTGGCATAACTTGTCTCCTAATCTCTTGATCTTCATAACAAAAGCCCGTATCTACTATATGAAGATAAAGCTCTTAGAAAAAGAGAAGCGAAAAAGGTCTGGCAGCAAAGGCAAATTTCCTTACCAGGAAGAAGCCAAAAGTTGTCCATGCCACTTTAAAACAAACGCAAATCAGGTTAGAGGCAAAATAAAAGCATTACCAAAAGCTGACTTCCAGCTGAGTACAGAAGGCTAAAAATGTGTCAATTAAAATATTTAATAAGATGTCTACAAATTCACAAAAATCTTGGATAGAAGTTGGTTTTCAATAGACACTTACTTCGAAGCACCCACAGTTCTCTGAAGATTTTAGTGACTTATAACCCTTGTGGCACAACTTCACCAAAGGGAATGTATAATATTAAGTGTGTGTGGATGGATGTGTGATGCGGTAACTGGCATGAGTCTTGGAGACACCGTCACCAGTGTCCTAGCTTTTTCCTTCATTCTCTTGGAAAAATTACCTCATGAATTTAACCTTTGTTCCTTCTGCTTAAAATTTTCCTTATGCCATATATACAAAAGGTTTCATTTGAAATTATGAATAACACACAGACACATGAATAGACCTGAAATAAATAAAGATATTGATATAATCATTTTAAACAGCTCACAGGATAAAACATGCCCTTGATATCTCACTGGTGTATTCTACCAAATGTTTAAAATAAGACTAGTTTTTTAGAAAATTTTCTAAAAACTAGAAGTATTGAATGACTTATCCTAAGAAAGAATTACCCTGATACTAAAAAACAGACACAATCATTATGAGACAAAAACTACAAAGTAGTATTTCATACAAATATATATAACCTTAACAAATTCTAGTAAACAAATTTAGTATAAAAAAGCATTAATATATTATGCTTAAATAGAATTTATCCTGAGAAATCAAGGTTAGCTCAACCTCCTCAAACATGTAATAATAATAAATGAATACAATAAAAGATTTTTAAAAGCATTTTCATCTTAATAAGTATGGAAAACACATTTCAAACCTTTTTAATGGAAAGAATACTTAATAAACAGAAAGAGAAAAGAATTTGCTCAACTTTATGAAGGATATCTACAAAAACACCTACAGCTTTCATAACAGTGGGAAAATGTTGAAATCTTATCTTTTATATTGTGAAGATAAAAGAACAGAAACAAATTAACAAACAAAAAAACATAATAAAAACTACATAAAAATAATGCAGAATTTCTGACAGGGTAATAGGAAATTAACATATTGTTATTGTCAACTTGGCTGTTGTATTACATATTGTTATCTTGGAAGTGGTTACTCAGATAACCAGATATAGGCATGTAAGATAGAAAACTGTTCCTTTCAATAAAGCAATAGAAATGAGCAGTACAATTATCTTACCTATCATATGTGTGTGTGTGTGTAATATATATATATATATATATATATATATATATATATATATCCCTTTCTTCTTTTTTCTTTTCTCTTTTCCCTCATCCTAGTCATTCTTTCCTTTGGAGCAGTTTCTTTCCCTTTCACAGTGTCTATTTTAGAGTTCACATTTTATGTACTCTTTCAGGTTCTTACACAAGGGAGACAATATCATGTTTATACATGTGAGTCTGATTTATTTCACTTATGAATATGGTCTCTAGTTGTATCCATTTGCCTACAAAAGCCACGAATGTATCTTTCTTTATAGATGAGTGATATTCCATTATATAAAAATACCACATTTTTTATCCATTCCTCAGTTGATGGGCAGTTGGGTTGTTTCCATGATTTAGCAATTACAAATTGCACTGCTATAATCATGGGTGCACACATATTGCTGTGCTATGATGTTTTTATTTCTTCTGAAAAAATACCCAAAAGGGAAATAGCTGGGTTGAATGGGACACCTAATCATATTTTACAAAGGAATCTCCAGACAGATTTCCACAGGGGTTGCACCAGTCTACACTCCTACCAATAGTGGAGAAGGGGTTCCTTTTTCCCTGCAGCCCCACCAGCATTTGTTATTGGTTGATTTCTTGATAGCCATTCTTTCTGGGGTGAGATGGAATCTCACTGTTGTTTTAAATTGTATTTCTCGAATGACTAATGATGTTGAACATTTTTTCATGTATTTATTTGCCATTTGTATTTCTTTGTTTGAGAAGTGCATATTCATCTCAGATGCCCATTTTTGTATTGAATCTTTGAATTTGGGGGGCTATTCAACATAGTGCCGAATGTTTGAACTAGTGTGACAATGAAAAAAGCAGGAGGAAAAGGGTACCCACTTTAAAAAAAAACACTATATGTTCAAATTGCATAATTTTATATACAGAAAGTCCTGAAGAATTTACACAGTAAAAAAAAAAAAATCTATCGGATAAAATAAATGGGTTCAGCTGGGCTTCAGGACACAAGCTTGATACAGGAAAACTAATTATATTTTAATACATTAGCAAAAAGTAATGGTAACAAAAGAGTTTCATTTACAATAGCATCCAAAAAGTGATACCTCCCTATGACCCTTACCAGAAGCTCAAAGCAAATGGGTCTCTTGGGATTGGACTGGGACCTCCAGATCCATAAACCTAAATAAACCTTATGTCTTTATAAGTTAGTTGCATTGCTTATTTCATTGTAATAATATCAACCTGATTACTACTGCATTACTGTGGGTAAGGTATTGTGAGCCTTCTGAGAATTTAGACACCTTTACAGAATATTCTACTAAATATGTTCATCTTGTCTTGTAGGGATCCCACAAGAAGGTAAAAATGTTCAAAGAGGGGCTAGTAGTCTCTCAGTCATCACAGTTTGTCAGCCACAGAGATTTGCGTACAGCGGCAACTCACCTATTGGTGGCCCTCAGCACTGACTTCTCCCCTTAGGCCCATGAGGTTAGGTGTGTAATCAAACAGGACAGAATGCCACTGCAGAGTTCTGAGTCACTGATTAAATTATTTCATCAGTTGGAAAAGGTGTGGCAAGTGACCAGGACACATTTATAAAAGGTCAGTGACAGAATAAAATGAACTTTAAATCCTGGGTATTGGCTATTGATTAGTCAGTACAAATCTGTACCTGAAATGGAACTAGGGCCAGGAACTATCAAATAGGTGGAAATGGACTTACATGTCATTGTGTTTAGAGCTACTTGTCCTCTCTGATACTCAGAATCTAGTAAACTGTCTGAAACAATGCATTCTCAACATGTGATGTTATACACTGTCATAGGTGTTTTACAATTGTTATTTAATTTAATTTCTAGTACATCCTTATTATATATGTGCTATCACTTCTAATTTGTGGACAAGGAAACTGAGGTGCAAAAAGTATTTCTGGTCATTGCCCGTGCCAAGATTTGATGGTAAATAGGGTTGACCATAAATGCTTTCTCGAGAAAATAATTCTACCTCCAAGAGTTTTTCATGATCTATAAAAGCTTAATACAATAGCAACAAAACTCAGAAACAGTAATTAATTCCATTAATGTTCTCAGAAATAATACAACATACATTATAACAGTGAGCACAAAGCA